TGTGACGTCACAGCCCACCCCACTCTTCCCCACTGTGACATCACCCACCTCCCCTAGCCCCCTGTGACGTCAGCGCTCCCTTTGCCCACCCCGTGTGACCTCGCAGCCCTCCTCCTCTTGGCGTGACATCACAGCCAGCCCCCCCGATACCTTCTCGTGACATCACAACCCGTAACTGCCCCCCCCGAACCTCAGATATGCCACCCACGTGGCACGACGTCACGCCCCCCCTTCCCCGGGGAGGAGGGAAAAGGGGCACCAAAGACCCCCCCCCACCTGCCGAACTGCAGCGGGAAGCTTTTCCGGATGCGGTGGAAAAGCTTCTCGCCCGTGTCCAGCTCCACGTAGAAGTAGGGCGCGCCGGGCTGGGCCACCTGCGGGAGGACAGCGAGCTGGCCCGGASGGGCAGGGAGAGCCCGGCACCCCCTCGCAGGACGCCCCAGCGCCCAGGCGTGGGCTCCGTCCCCACCCAGTCCCGGCCGGCTTGCACCCGGACTCTCCACGCTCATCCCGGAGCAGCGGGGGCCACCGGCGGCCGCCTCCCGCAGCTTAGCGACCCTCCAGCCCTCGTGAAGCACCAGCCGCGGGCGGGCGGCGGCGAGGAGAGCCACAGGCCGAGCCTTGTCTCGTACTTGCTGGATATCCGAGTGCTCCGGGAGCTCCAGCAGCTCAATCTGCTGCTCCCGAGCCTGCGTGATAAAGGCCTCTTTAACGTCTTCRGCAGTGCAGAGGTTCAGCGGGAGGGGAATCACCTGGGGAGCACGGAGAACGCTCTCGTAACAAGGCAAGACAACCCGTTYACTCGCGGGAAGCAACAAATCCATCACTGGAGCTGGTTTGCTCCTCAGTGCTTCTCGTCTTCAGCACGCTAGACAGGTGAGCGCCCGTGTCTTCAGGCTTAAACTTATGACTTTTCTCTGTAGGAGCTGAACGACGACGACAAATCCTGACAACTGAAAAGCTCGAGCCAGTTCTCAGGATGCCCGCCCTCCTTTCCACTCTTTGTGGTGGCTCAGGGCCGCTCCGATACTGCCGCAGACCGGCCACATGCAGAAACCACCACAATAAAACATCAACGCGTTGGCACACAGACAGGACGTCTACTCTTCCGCCCCTCCTGCACTAAAGAAAGAAAAGAGAATTAAATCATACCTGTAACTGCAGGTGCTGGCTCTTATAGTTCCTTTCAAACAGGACGTATCTCTTCCCCTGGCTTCTGAAGAAGTCCTTCAGGGCAGATTTGTACTTGGTCACTTCTTCCACCACCTCGGCAGAGAGGTCAACCACGGACTGGTAGTGCCCAATGGGCAAAATGAGGACGTGGTCAGGCAACAAGCCGCCCTTGGCCAGGGCGAGATAGCACTAGGGTGAAATAAATATAAATACACATTATATATATATATATTTTTAATTATATATATATATTTTTTTAATATAAATATATATATATACACTCACACACACACCTGTTATTCACTTGTGTGAATAGCACAAGTGCAAACGCTCACTACACTGCAAAGCTTAACTTGTGCTGAGCACAGCCTAAGAGCACCCCACAGCCTAACGGGTAAAGCCTCTTTTTCSGTGTCGCTCGTTAGGGGGTTACATTTGTTAAACAAAAATAATAATAAWAAAAAAAATCGAACGCCAGAAATTTGTCTGCAAGAAAAGCTGCTACAGCTCTGTCCACTCTAGGGAATATTTTTCTATCATAGGAGAACTGATAAAGTGCATTTGAGTGTACGTTTGCACCTACACAAGGAAGGGGTTTATGGTATCATCACAGGCTAGAGAAATCAGAAATAACACAGCTACTACGGCAAAATCTGCAGGCCATTCCTTGCTTACTTGGGATCCAATTTCAATCAAGAAGAGACAAAACACGAGGGGGAAAAAAAGTGAATTTTGCTACTGTGTTTTTTTTTTTTTTWAATAAAGACAAAACACAGACCATATACTGGTCAGACCACTTACTGAGGCCTGGGCACCTCAGTAAGTGTGGGCAGCACTTCCAAGCCAGGTCTCCTCCTTTCCCTCTCTCTTTTCTTTTCTTTTTTTTTTTTTTAACAGATTTAAAATTAGAGATGGAGGCTTTAAATTGCTATGGCCTTGCATGCTCCTGCCTCCACACGAGAAAAAGAAGGGACTTACGTGCGTGCCGATACTAACAACCAAGTGCTTCTCMACCTCCGGGCTGGCCAGGCAGAACCAGCAGGGCCCCGTTGGCTGCGCTTTAGTGGGAGAGCACAGAGAAACGGGCATTAGAGAACACGGAGAAACAGGCATCAGCATCCTTTGGGAGAACAGGAAACAGCCAAAGCAAGATCCCAAAGCCCAGTGCTTTCCAGCCGCCTTCTGATGGACACCCCRTGGAAGGGGTGAGAAGGACTCAGCACTGCAAGGCAAAACTGGGGCAAGGAACTGGCTCGGTTCTTTGGAGTTCTCAGAAGCACCAGCTTCTGAGGTTGTACCAATAAACATGTGACTAGGGATAAGCACTGGATTCGGCTCACCTGGAGGCTTCAGAGAGGGACAAGTGGGGTTGCAAACGCAATAGCGCGGACTCCCAAGTCTCCCAAGGACTTCAGAAACGAGCTATCTCATTCTGAGGGTTGRTTTCCTAACAAAACGGTGTACTGAGGTTCCCTTCTCACCGGAACGAGCTCCAAAAGACTTTGGAAGCTACGTGAGTTTGCACAACGGCGTGCTACGTCCCACAGTAAGACCGCAGGAGCAGTGGCAGAGCTGCACACCCACATTCCTTCATCAAAACTGTCCTTGCAGCCAGCCCTGCCCATGCAGGCATCTCTACAGCAGCGAGGGCGCCCTAGTTTTGGCAAAAGACAGCTTAACCTGTAAAACCATCATTTGCAAGGACAAGACCAAGTGCGTGGTGTTATTAATTGCAAAACTGTCAACCATGTACACCAAAACAAGCAGGTTCATCTGCCAGAGGCATTTTTGCAGCAAGTCTTCCTACCCAGTGGCAGTGGAAATGGCTTCAGGAAATTAGTCATTTGTTTTCCTCAGGAATTCTATTCCCCAGGGAAGACTAGTGTCCTATTTGTGGACAACTGCTTCACCGGGTGGGCAGCAGGACAGCGCACTGCGAGCTGCGAGGGACGCTCTGTGCTAAGAGCAAATACTCACGGGGCTTTTTAGCTTGCTTAGGCTGCGAGTTCCCTCTTTCCTTCCCATCCGAGGGACGTTTCTTTCCTTGGTTCTTGTTCAAATCAAAGAAGAACTGACAAGCGGCTTCTTCCTGTCCAGGAAACAAAAACGAAAGCTCAGCCTAACTACCCAGCGCAGAGACTTGGCACGTACACAACCCTGCCTCGTTCCCGAAGGGATACCTTAACCTCCAACAACTGCATCAACCTCCTTGAAGGGAGTGATCCCAAGAATCTAACAGCTCTCAGCTGCCTACACATCCTCAGCCTAGGAAAAAGTTCCGGGAGAACTGTCCGAAACTGCTGCTTTCTCCTCCTGACCTCTCCAAACGCTAAAACCGAAGTTTCTTTTCCAGCAAACTGTGACGGTTTTGTGCCCATTTTAAACTACGTATTTAAGTGCAAAGCGCTAAAATAACCCCGGCAAGCGAGCAGATCCGAGCACACCATCTGGAGGGCTGGTTTCCATGGACGGTAGGGGATGGTGTGGTCAAACGGTGGGTGGAAGAAGGGCAGCAAACTGGAAGGTGGTGGTGGGTGGAAGAAGGGGTCGGTGGGAAGAAGGGGCCAAAGTGGATCATAAAACCCCACGCTCCACATTTATGCCATTTGACCRACTTGAGTTGTTTTCAGCCAGCTCTGAAGCACGATGAAGAGAAAAGGTATTCAAAGGTTAGAGCCAGACAGCGTGCCAAGCTCTCCGGGCAGAGAACGGGAAAGCAAAAGGCACTCGCGAGCGGCACCCGGCAGTACCTCTGCACTCACGAGAGTCCTGCCCTTGTGTGCCTCTTTCTGCAGCTTTCGGTACGGATTTTCTGTGACATCCTGGGGCTGCTTCACCAGCTCTGCAGGGTCCATCTTGCTCATGGGAACAATGCTGAACGCGTAGAGATACTGGGAGGAGAAGAAGGAGAGAGAGCTCGGGTGCCCAAAGCTTTCTGGTAGGACTGCCACCGAGAAGAGGTCGTCTCCGAAACAGTAATGTACAACTTAGGTCCACAACACAGCAACAGATCAGTTTTCCAACCAGGGTGCAGACACACGTTCCTCGTGCCAGTCGCCCACCCAAAGCATCCAGGAGTTTATGCCGTACTTCCAAATTTAGCTACTTGAAGGAAGGCACTAAACAAGTCCCGATTTTTTTGCCCAAAGTACATACATTACAGCAAACGTTTTCTCTGTAAGTGTCTTCACAGCTAAATATCGCTTGTACTTGAGAGAAGAAAGGCTCAAGGGGCAGGGGGCCAATACCTTTTTCTTGCTTGTGTTGCCAACATCAGCCAATGCAATAAACCTGCTTACGTGCTGTGGGGCCTCTTGGAGCACTGTGTGGTTTCTGTGGGGAAACAAATTATCATTTTTATTTTTACTATTTTTACTATTTTTACTATTTTTACTATTTTAATTATTTTTATTATCTTTATTATTTTTACTATTTTTACTATTTTTATTATTTTTATTATCTTTATTATTTTTACTATTTTTACTATTTTTATTTTTATTATTTTTATCTTTATTATTTTTACTATTTTTATTATTTTTATTTTTATTATTTTTATCTTTATTATTTTTACTATTTTTATTATTTTTATTATTTTTACTATTTTTACTATTTTTACTATTTTTATTATTTTTATTTTTTTCAAGTACCGACATATACTTAAAGGACCCTCAACACACACATCTTATACATAAACAAAGTTACGATTAAGGCTATCAAACACGTAACAATTACGGATTTTTGCCACCACTTCTTTGTTAGAAGAAAGGAGGTKATTTAAAAGGCCCGGATGACTTCATGAGGAATTGATAAATCCTTCTCACAAATCAAACGAGGTTTCGCTCGGTCTTACATACCTATAAGGAACTCTTTCATAATAGGTCTTCTCCAGTGCAGCAAAGTGATACCTTGGCTTGAGACTTGCAGCCAAATTAGATATCAATGCAGAGCCACATTTCTTGGTGTCTATTTCTCCCTATAAAATACAAGAATTGTGTGCTGGAAACCTACAGCTCATGATCATAATGGAAAGAATGGAATTACTCCTTACCCACGGAAATTTAGCTCCTCACACAAATTCCACTGAAAAAGAAACTTAAAAGTTGCAAAGAACAACAGCAAACCCTAAACTCTTCCTTCAAATGTTCCCTTTTCTTTCAGGGATGCAATTTCAGCCCCTTAATACTCAAAGGGATCTCAAAGACTTATTGATGAAAACAGCAGGTCATAAAATGCCCACTTTCAACAAGATGTGCATTTTAATACGTATTTGCCTCTTAATTCCAATTAATACAGCCTCAGAAAATCTATGSTGATGGCCAGCTGATTGCAGATTGATATCCCTATAGAGAATCAACACATGAAATTCAAGACAAGACTCCGTTCTTTAAGACAGAGCATCCTTACATCTCATTTCCCTCTAGTGCTCTTGCGAGCCCTAATTTAGTTCTTTGGTTTTGCTTTCAGGCTGAAGGTCAGTTCTTTTTCTTTGAATAGCTGAAGGCAGGGAGGGGAAGCAAAAAACGTAATTTCTGTYATAGTACATGGCACTCAACCCGGAGAAGGTTTCTGATCTTCTGAAACAATGATGAGAAGTTGGCATTTGCTTAGGTACGCTGTTAACCCTCGAATGTGGACTAAACAAATCAAATAGTGCCCTCAAAATTCAGGCAGGAAAGGACCACACCATTTGGTACAGCTGACTGATACCTAAAGAAACAAACAYAGGCATTTAAGGTTTGAAGGAGGCAAAAGAAGGATTTATGTGAAACTGAGGTTTGTGAAGATCGGCAGCATTGGAGTGGAGGGGAACAGAGATACCTGCAACCCAGTAACAACAGCTCGAACTCGAGCRGTGGAAGGCTCCAGTCCCTTTTCCAACTTACATTTCCACAGCTGCAGAGGCCTGCAGTGTCAAAGGGAAAACTGCTCTAGGAAACGAACGCAGTTTTCCCTACGGATTTGCTATGGCAAAGCACAAACYGCGGGCCAGGACTGACGCAAGCTTTAAGGAACAGCCTGGGTTGCTGAAGAAAACTGGCAAGAGAAGCGTTAGGAGCTAAGGGAAGACACCGCTCGACACCAGTTTCCTCTACTGATTTAAGAAATCCAAGGAAAACCCACGGCAGGCACTTACAGGACTGTTGCCGAACCTGGCCACGTCTCGGGGCCAGGGAGACGTGAGCAGTATATCGACCCCTCTGAAGCCGGGGGCTGACAGCAAGGACGCTGTTAGCTCCGCCGCGTCCTTGGCGGTGAAGGCGGAGGCGAGCGCGGGCTCGTGCTGGGCCTCGGTGCCGCTCAGGTAGGCGATCTGCAGCCCAGACGTGCCGCTGAACACCCCCCTGCGGCCTGCACGGACACACAAGCGCGCGCGTCAGCCTGCAGCGGGGCAAGTTAGTCCCTGCCTGCATCAACTACRAAGATCGAGCCCTGACTTCCCTGACTTCTACCAAACCTTTCTTTGATTACAGTCAAAAAACTCACAAGAGAGCCCTGATTTAACACAACATGCTCRAACTCTTCCCAGTTTACACAACCCCAGTTTTCTTTCAAGTCCCCAGTTTGGACAACCTCCCCCTCTCTCTCAAAAAAAAAAACCCAACAAAAATAATCAGCACATAATCAAACAGGTAGATTGCCTATTAAGAGCCAACTGCAGCAGCGTTTCTGCAGTGCTCCAGCACTTACTTGCTGCTACTTTTGCCAGGCAGCATTACGGAAAGAAACTCGCCCTTCCTATTACTTCCTTCACTACACTTGAGCCTAACAGTTCTCCCTTAACAGAGCCTCAAAACGCAAAGCCCAGTTCATTTAGGAAGCTTCCCTAAGTTCCTAAAGTTCCTAGGAAACTTTCCTTGGGTTCCACACCAATGTGGAACCCACRTACAAGGAACACGGGCTTAAGAGGTTTGGAAAGGGTTTGAAAGAGGAAGCTCTCAAAACGTTCATGCGAGCCCCACGCTGCCCGCGGCCTGCGCTCCTCGCAGACCGCCTGGTGCTACCGAGGTAGGTGATGTTCTCGGCCAGTTCACAGCCGCTGACGTCCGGGAAATAGCGCACGGTGTCCTCATCGTTAGCACCCAACACATAGGTTGGGATTGGAGCTGTGGAAAAGAAGAACAAAACACGTGTCACCCGTTGGGTTTAGTYTGGGGTGTTAAAAGTTCAGTTGGCATTTTCCAGCAATCCAGCAGGTCCCATCCCAGTTATCTGCTTTCCAGTGGCTGTTTGTTTGCAGCGTGCCGAGATGGGATAAGCAGAGAACCAGAAATCTTCCTTCAAAATGAGGCCCATAATCCTGTTTCCATAAGATGCACGTATCTTATGGTGGAGAATAATCTCTGGCTTAACCCCAGGTACGCTCCTTTGACTGTATGGGGAGAYCCCCTCCAAAACGACCCACAGAGCTTCAAAAATACAGCTCTTCCCTCGGGCAAATGCTCGAACGCAGTGTACCCAGTGATTCCGCTTAAGTTCACAGGGGTACTGGAAGACTGCAATGTTTCTGTTGYTGTTGTTGCTGCTGTGGGAAGASCTAAAGCTCAGTGGCTCCTCGATCTGCTGGGCACCACCACCTCCTGCACAATTTCACCTAACCAAAAAGAGGAGGAGGAAAAAAAGAAAACCACAAAACCTTCCCTTTTGCTACGCCAGTGGATATCAGAAAAGGCTTTGGTTATTTCTATAGACACACGGGCAAAAAAGGAGATTTCTGAAGAGCTCAAAGGGTAAAGAGARGCCAGTGAGGAGGAGCAGAAATGCACCAGTCCAAGCAGGACCCCGCTGCTACCACTCACTGACCTCCCTCCGCACCAGCGACCGCTTCCTAAAGTGGCTGCAGGAGGCTGAGCTTAAAAATACATACTAATTCTGCTCACCCTCCTGCTGCAAGGAGGGCACAAGGTGCCAGGCTGCAAGCTGAACTACAAGCAACAGCCAGRACCATCTGTGCCCAGGGAACCTTGTGGACGTACGGACACATGGGGAGTACAAGGGAGCCGGGGATAACTCTGAGGAATGAGGGTGAAAGGGAGATTTGCAGGAAACCAAGAGACCCGGATCCTTTTCTGCCTCGTACCAGGGTGAGATTCAAAGCGGGGCTGAAGAGTACAGAGTAAAAGCACCAGGGATGCTGGTGAGAAGCATCTCCCAGCCAAGGGGTGCGCAAGCAGGGGCCGAGGAGGCTGTGCAGACCTTCTCAWGTGCACGGGTGGGAAAATGCCTCAGGAGGGAAAAGGTTTCAGGTGCAAGAGCTGGGGGCACCTAGGCGGAAGAGGCAGGTCGCTACGAGAGTCCCACAAAAKGGACAGCGCCGTCCAGCAGCTCCCCAGACCGCAATGCAAAGGCCACTTCCCCATGGCCCTGCCCAGACAAGCAGCAATCCCACCTTCCTCCCGCTCCTCGCGTTTACCCAACCTCGGGGTGCCTCAGCGCGGCTCGGACGCCACCTTGGCGCAGACCAAGCGTCGGCCATCGCCATCGCTTGAGCGTTGGCCATCGCCTGGGCACTGGCCATCGCTTGAGCGCTGGCCATCGCTTGAGTGTTGGCCATTGCTTGAGTGTTGGCCATTGCTTGAGTGTTGGCCATTGCTTGAGTGTCGGTCAACGCTTGAGTGCTGGCCATCGCTTGAGTGTTGGCCATCGCTTGAGTGTTGGCCATTGCTTGAGTGTCGGTCAACGCTTGAGTATGGTCATCACTTGAGTGCTGGCCATTGCTTGAGCATCGGCCATCACTTGAATGCTGGCCATCGCTTGAGTATGGCCATCGCTTGAGTATGGCCATCGCTTGAGTGTAGGCCATCACTAGAGCGTTGGCCATCGCTTGAGTATGGCCATCGCTTGAGTATGGCCATCACTTGAGCGTTGGCCATCGCTTGAGTATGGCCATCGCTTGAGTGTTGGCCATCGCTTGAGCGTTGGCCATCGCTTGAGTATGGCCATCACTTGAGCGTTGGCCATCGCTTGAGTATGGCCATCGCTTGAGTGTAGGCCATCGCTTGAGCGTTGGCCATCGCTTGAGTATGGCCATCGCTTGAGTGTTGGCCATCGCTTGAGTGTTGGCCATCGCTTGAGCGTTGGCCATTGCTTGAGTGTCACTGGGTGCACAGACAAGCCCGCCAAGGGGAAGGGTGGCTCTCCCGGCTGACGGTGCCGCCCCGCCGCACGCCCGGGCTTTGCGGGGCACCCCGGCCGCCGCTCGCCTACCTGTCTTGGTGCCCGCCCGGTACTCTTCCCACTCGGCCGCYGCCGCGGCGCTGAAGAAGCTGCCGACGCAGAGCAGCATCTGCAACGGGAGCGCGCACRGAGGGAGGGAGCGCCTGGTCCGGCCCGGCCCCCGCTCCCGCTCCCATTCCCGCTCCCGTTCCCGCCTTACATCGAAGCGGCCGCTGCGGGCCTGCACGGCGCGCACCCGCGCGAACAGCGCCTCCAGCCGCCCCTCCACGTCGCCGCACGCCAACCTGCGCGACACGGGACGCGGGACGCGCGCTGAGCGCCGCTGCGCCGCGCGGAACGGCCCGGCCCGGC